TTAATAGATAAATCGATAGTGTCTAATAATAATCGATCGTTCAGCTGTAGCACTCTTTCGGTGCCCAACTGCCATGCCATCAGAAGGAAGTATGATGTCTGGGATACTGCCAGGTTACCCAAGCCTAAACAGAGGAAGTTGAGAGTCAGAGGTCGAGTGTGAACCACGAACCTTCTGGTCAGTAGAGTCGCACTCTATCCACTGAGCCATCTCGCCCCGTGTCTAATAATATGAACAACCTTTTCTTACATTTGAATAACGCTTCTGCTTATCAGAGGAAGACTAGCCAAGACAACGTAAACACTCATGACTAAGAAGGATCCACGGTAGACTAGATGTTTTATATGGAAGATTTCAGAAAATCCTGTCACAAGTCTGGTCGGTGACCGTGCGGTCCAACGGATCAACCGGGAACAATCGATAGAGGTCTTACGTGATTTCACTTCCATGACCCCACCACTGATGCTGTTTCTAAATAAGGCCGCCTCCTGAAGGCTGGCCGAGATTTGATTTTCTATAGAGGAAAATGTCGGTAGCTCAGGTAGCGTAGATGGTCGTTGGCTTGTTCGCTGAGCTGTGCAATTTGATTGCAAGCGTTTCATCACCAATCGAGGTGACATCATCAGTGCGTTACTGGGGAGCGTAGTTGTGCGTAGCGATGGGTTAGTGGTTGTGCACAACCACTCGAGTGGCGATGAAACGTTTGCAATCAAATTGCCCAGCTGAGAGAACAAGCCAGATTTGATTTTACCAAGCATTTCGAGTTTGTAGATCTTCAAATCGAGTAATAGTACGCTGGTGTGGAAGAGTGTACCATGACATATACCTACGGGAACTTCGACTATACCGGTTAGCTTACAGAATCCTTTTGTGTTGGTACATGTCTGAATGTGTCTAGAATTGGTCGGCTGAATACTGGACAGGCGATATCGGATATCAATGCTTATGATTATCCAGTACATATGGAAGGGGAATTCCATCGATCTGTTAAGATATCATGGTAATTTCGATTGATTAGAGATGTTCCCTCCGTAAACGAAACACTCGGAAAAGCTGCGTTCTTACAACTCAAGGGGTTCACTACTTCCATAATATTCAAAACGTCTATTAAATGTTCGGTAGAATTCCCCAGGTCGATGTTTCAGTTCAGTCTAGTAAGTATGTGGTCACCTGATAAGCCTGTTTAAAGCTACTCGCTAAACTTATTCGTTTGCCTGTCGCTCCATTTTTCATTGCTCCAAGTTTTACCTGATGTCCACCGACGGGAATGCAAAGTAAATATCCATAAGGAGGTAGCGTGGTGGATCGCACTTCTCGTGTGACCATTCTACCACAGGGTAATCGATTTTATGGTTTTTTACGAGGCGTTTGACTCAAATGTTACAATTGTCCGGCAGACAAGAGAGCTCTGTGTTCCCGCCGACATAAGGATTATTCTATCCGAGCGACCTTCTAGTGCCTCAAGGTAGTAAAAGGATAAATGAATTTTGGAATGCGACCGTTAACCTATGGGTTGAGTTCATATCAGTCCGATTTTGAGTTAATGTGAGTTGGGTTGATGTGATTAGGTCTATACCATCCTCTCTATCTTCACCGTATTTTCGTCATGCACTAGTCTAGTGCGAAAATTCTAATGTTCACCCACAAAAAGTACATTTTCTGAAGCTATCGTCCACTTAGGGTTAGTAATGCGCCAACCCCCCGTCAGAAAACACACTTACGTCTCTTCATTGAAACATACTGGAGGACCACACTCGGAACGAATGCCAACTGCGTGTGTAATAAAGCTTGTGTGTTGGTCGTGTGCCGTTTGACCGACCATCACACTGACTGGCCACAAAACTATGCATCAATATACCTTAACTCTGAACCACCATAGTTGCCATTGTTCACCCTATTCCATAACTTTTCTCGGTGTTCATAGTGACGCTAGATCGCCTGTACCACATATCCGATAAGATAAATAGTTCAACTCCCCTGATTTATGTTCCGAATCCGTGAATCTAGCAACTCTGCACAATGTAAGAAAAAGTCGAGAAAAAATTGGAAGAATTGTCTATTTTACGATTTAACCCATTTGACTACTTATCTTCAATCGTCAAGATGGGGTTTGTCCTGAACAGCGACCTCCGTCACCTGAATATATCCACCTAATTCGGACAAGGTTGAGGGTCAATAGAAAATGTTTGCGACACCTTTGCAAGCACTATTATTTCATAGTAACCTCCAACTTACTAACCAGGACTGTTATCTTCTATAATAATTACATTTGAATTGTTTCGCAATAAGCTCCATTTCAACAGCCGTCTCACACGTTTATTTGTTCCATAAGTCTCCAAACTTTCTTGGTCATGCGTCGGTCATCCAGTTTGGCACAGATCTGTAGACCGGCTGAATTTAAACCAGCAAGATAATTTTAATTTTTAAATCTGAGGACATATGAATTACGTACGTAAATTGTGTACGTAAATCACAATTCCAACCATTAAAAATGTCACATCCTTGAAAAGTCTGTTCACGCGAATAGGCAATTCCACACCCTGCTATCTTATCGCAAGCGAATCTCTTCAATTGCACACATTTTTCGCACGATAGGTACCGACAAGATTTCCCAAGGTATCATTAATCAGGTTTCTCCTTCACCATATCACGTGATGGTAAATCGATGAGTTCCAACTGTAGACCAGATGCGGTGACATTAGCATTGCATTCGATGCATTTCGAAACTGACAGACATCATTCTTTCTTTCGACAAAGTTTGGAAACTGCTCCAAAAATGTTTCCTTTAACTCATATAACCTGAGTAGTTGAAAAATAAACAATTTAATCTCTAGAGCGTAGGTGTTCGAGTGGTAAATGTCCTTTACCTAATGAGATTTTTTTCAAGGAATGCCTTTCTAATGACAAATTATGAGTTGAATTGTCCACCCTTGAAACTTTATTTTCAGCTGAATTGATCCTCTGGAAGCTATGATTTACTACTTTACTAAGACAAAACCGGTTTGCCTTTCTCCGTGAGAAATGGCGAATAAATCTGGGAGTACTGAACCAAAAGATAGAATCTTAAAAGTCGAATTACGGAATGCAGAATCGACCCCTACAAATCAGGCTTGAAACTGGCTGTTTGAACAAGTCAGATCAAATGAATTTTACTAGGCTGACCTGACAGCAGGAGAAGCGTCTAGACATCAGCTAAAGAACTCTTATCGACGTAAAGCGTAAGGTCTTTACTGGAAATTATTTACGAATTTGTTACAGACGGACGAGCAAGCCCTGAAGGGACTTTGAGACTCCGATAAACTTAGAGCTTCATCAAAACTGATTGGGCTTGTTCGAAATATCAGTTTTATGGAGAAAAAGAGTGCAGTATCAAGCCGGGTTAAATAAGCCCGCCGGTCGGAGGTCCGATCTGTGGCCAAAAGGCGGTCGGTCACCCTCCGTCCGCTCGGTCAGAACTGGTCATCTGCCATCTACCTGTCCACCCTGCGCAGCTTTTGCTGTCACACACGCTGTTGTGTAATTCACTTCGGACGATATCATGGCAGCGTACCGCTGTGTCGCTGCCGGGCCTTTCCAAATAGGACTGGTGTGTGCATTATAGCCACTCGGGTGCTCTTGATGCTGTGGACTTCACTGCGCCATCTGCGGGGCAGTGATACGGGAACGGAAGTAGACTGCGCTCATGGCGCTAGAGTAGCAAACGTAATCAAAACACCACAACGCCTAGTCTGGTCAGCAGGCGGTGGTGGACTGAATTGTACTTTTTTAGTGCCGCTAGCACCGTGATGACGTCGACCCATGGTTTTGTCAGTCACTCCACCGCATCGCATCTATGTGAAACAATTATACATTAATGCTATTACTACGGATCCCCAAACAAACAGTGGCTGTGAAACACGTAATGGACAATGAAATTCAACGTGACTGCAGAGCGTGAGTTCAGAAGAACTGAATAGTGACTCAAAATCACGTCTGTAACAGCACGTTTCCTCAACCTGATGAGTGGACTGTTTGGACGGTTTCGGATTACACAAAGGGATTTTCCTCAGACCTCTTATCACCCGCTATCATCAGCCGCAAATAAAAAGAAAATATGAAAAGTGCGACTTCAAAGGTTTAAACAACACAGTAGCTAATAGACATGACGGCTGACATGAAGACATGAATTGAAGTTTCACTCAACTTCTCAAACTATCCGTGTCGGTGTACGTGTGTACCTGCGAGGTCGCTATAGTTGCTACAATTGTCTATCGAACTCTGATAGGATGCAGACGCACTTATAGGATTTCACTTAAACAAAATTATCTGCGAACTCGTGCAGTTGTATCAAATATGAAAAAGAAAGGCAAGAAATCAATAGCCAAAAAGTCCGTCAGTTTCACATGGCTTTTTCGGTTGGTTTTTCTTCCTCATTCATAGACTCTGAGCTACCAGAAACCGCGAATCATATTTGCGACGTTTTACGTGAGAACAGCAGACAAATTTGGATTCCGGTTGGTAAGCTAAGAGCAGTGCTGCTCGGATGCGCGATGAACGTTCGTTTTCTATTGATCGTGAACAGTATAAACAGAGAGACTGTGATTTTGCCCCTTGGTCCACTATTTTGTGGACAAACTGGAGATCATGATATTCCAGAATATCACTGATCCATGTGATCCATGCTGGAGGTATTTTGATGGTAACTTTGTTCTTCTCTGTGACTGTAGTATGAATGTATGCAGTAGATACTTTTGATTCAGAACACTCTGTGCTCAATTTAACTTACGGCCTAGAGAACCAAATCAGTATACTATTCCTCGCATTACAAGAGTGGTATATCACGCTGGATTTCTGTTGTTGATAGCGGGCTGGTTTTGACGTTCCATTCAGGCTCGTTGGGTTCTTCTAGCGGTTGTATTGAAGGAGATCAGTCAAACTGTTCAACCAGTAGCTTAGGACGACGATTTTTTGAATGGATTGTCGTTCTGTCTTCTTCGCATTTCGTTGGTTGCTCGAATCAACTAAGATGAGGAGCGGCTGTTGCCCGCAGCGAAAGCCTTCTCTAGCTTTAAACCTCCGCAGTCCATCGGCATTCTGTCATCCTTCAAGCTCTCGATCATCCTATGTTTGAGAAACATGCGTACGCCATCATAGTCGCTAATTGCTGGTACGGTCTTTCTGACAACAATAGGATCTGCCAATCTCAACGATATCCACTGTCCGCCTAGTCGAGCCAAATGGCTTGGACAAACAGCTCTAAACTCTGAGAGCTTCAACTCTCTTCCATTCACCCCGCCAGTAATCTTACTCATCTGCATGACCAGGCTTTTCCAGTAGCTTTCCAGCCAGATCAACTCGATCCTTATCAAAGTTGATGAGTGGAGGTGCTCTGCTTCAGTACGCGTAACGCTGACGGAAAACGAAGTAGTAACCTGGCTGGCGCAATGGCATGATGGGAGTCAAGTTGCGGATACAGGAAGGAACGGCAGTCTTTAATGTAGGCTCTTCATCCCTGACCGATAGCTATACGGTCTAACTGCGTCCATGACAATCACGTGGTTGATGGTCTCCAAGTAACTCACTGTGAGTGTTTTTGCTGGAAGTTCGCACTGTCCAGGAACAGACGATGATCGGCACACAAGTGAAGCAGTCGTTCACAATTATCCGTACGCTGAGCATCAACTCTAAGTCTACCACCTATCTGTGTGCTTCGTCCAACTTAGGCGCTCACATCATCCGCCAGGATTACTATATACTTCCTTCTTGCTGACGGAAACAGTCGCGACAGATTTTGATAAAACTGGCCCTTCTCAGTCTCAGAACTGCAGTTTTTCGAGGAATATACTGATTCGACAAATAAACACCACTTACCGCGTTGATATGCATTGATCTTAATTGAGCCAGACAGTGGCACAGCGCACAGACAACTGTTCGGATCCAGTTCAGTGAAATGCTTCCAGCCTTAGGGTTGAGTTCAACTCAAACACGGGAGATACCAAGAGTCACGTACATATCGTAAGCCGACCGGAGTCAACCATTACCTCAACTTCTCAAGCGTGTGCCTTTACGACACAGTCAACAGCCTGATCCGGACAGTCCGCAGGATTTGCTCTCAAAACTGAGCTACTATCGATCCTTAGACAAACCGGTTATCCTGACAAGTTGATCGACACGAGCATGTGTTTGTCTGAAGGGGGACCAGTTGTAATGACTTAAAAGCACGATTTACCAGGGTCAGTGGTCATATTTTTAATGCAAACAAAACTGATGATTCACCTAATCAGCCAGCCTACGCGTTTTCATCGTAATCGGTCGACTGGTCCCATGTGAGCCAATCAGTGTGGCCTGTAAGATTTTTTATGTAATTCCCAACACAGTTCGTTTAGTTGCCTTCTGTTCACCCCGTCGGAAGTTACTGTCCAACTTGTGATGAACAAATTAGGCGTCAGAAGAATATTCTCCTTCATCCTAGTGTTCACAAAATGACTGGATTTTTAATCGCATGCTTATGGGAACTTATACAGTCCCTCCGACCAAACCAACCAAAAAGCCGTACCGTGCTCAACCCAACACCCCTGTATTTCACGATGGTCACTGTACGGTATTCCTATGCCGTAGTACCTTTGATGCTCGCCCGGCCTTCGGTGTTAACTGCCCTCTGTTGTCGACGCTTCATTCCTATTGGGTGTAGTGTCCCGACTAACATGGCGACATGAAGATCACGTGACAAGTCATATGGGTTTCTGTGCCCTTTTACCCCAAAGGTTGTACGGTCCAGACGAACATCAGCAGACCAAGATGGACCAAAAACTGTCCTGGCAATAAATGAATCATGAATCATGGGTTAGAAATCCAACGTAAATGTAGCATGAGCAGTTTCTAATCCTCAAAGCACAGAGGTCGGTACGGAAGGCACAGAACCAGCCATTCACGAAAACCCTCCTAATTTCCCACCAAAAGTGGGAAGTTCTAAAGAAGTGCGCTTTGTGGGGGGGGGGGCTGGTTTTATGGTGTCTACTTTGGTCTTTTAATAAAGATGATGCATTCTGACCAGTACCCATAAGTATAACCATGAGCTACCACGTGGCCCATAGGAAACAGTAATTGAGTTACTGTTCTGGGGCTCCGAATAGGCTCTTGTTACCAAGCATGAGTAATGTATGATCTGTTGCTTGTGCTCAACTCTCAAAGAAGCATAGTGGTTTACTGCTACGCAGCAGCAAACATGTGTTCGAAATTCACTATGATGTTACGGTTACTCTCTGTTGATTTGTGGGTTGTATCTCTTCTGGGAACGTTCGGAAACTCAGTTTTAGCAAGTAAACAACTTTACCCCAGTTTCTCAAAATCAGGGCTAACATTTTTGGAAAAGTGAAAAACTTTTGCCTAAAAAACAAACAAGGTGATCGTTTAGTTTTGATGCAAAATAAAAGGTTGCCTCTGAAAACATGCTTTGACTCCCCTAAGGGTAAAGGAGTATAATAGAAATCCCCAGGGATCCGCGAGTTGCAGATCAGCCTGCAATTCTTTTGACCACACCTTCGCCGGATAAACCATGACGGGACTGGTAACAGGACAGAACCATACCCATAGGTATTTTAGCACCCATGAACTCATGTCACTGCTGCGGAATATGGGGAGTCTGTATGATACTCATGCCTAATGATTCGGAAGCTGATACACCGAAATCTGAGGCGTTTGTTGTTTGACTTCCAAAGTACTTTCTATATACACTATGTTTAAACAATGACGGGGATAAAATACAACCTGTGTACAGTCTTCGCCGTGTATTATCCTTCTGTGAAACGTCATTGGCAAACTATGACCGCATTTGATCGCACACTGTCATGATACTGTACGGGCTTCCAACGCATCTAACTATTCCGATGGCTTCACTTTCGTCCACAGAATTGTAGCAGTGAACATTTGCGCAGTTCACCTCATGAACTTCTTTTCTTCTCTGGTTGAACGAAGCTAAGCTTCAGTCATGCGATATCAAAAGCGACGACGTTTTCTTGTGTAATAAACAGGTAATCGAACAAACCTTACTAATGCGTTTGATATGGAAGTGGTAAAGCGATCCCAGCCTAGCGCTATTATCTACGTGTGAAAATCTACATATGTGACGCGGTTGTTTTCCACGAGGCGGGTATGAATATGCATGACGCAATGAGCGTTGTTTTGAGCTTCAATAAACATTCAAGGAGATCTGTCACAAACCCGACAGATTCCAACAATAAGCGTGCCAAAACGCTTGATGAGTTGCGGCTTAAAGACGGGTCGTCATAAAAAAAACTTATTCGTATTCAAGTTTAAGCGATAATGTTGCCAGTGTTTCAAGCCGACCTTCCCTTATCCCCAAAAGACGCGTGCATCCCAGCTGAAAAAACGCTGCGCAGAGATACGGCCTCAAAACTCTCCTCGAAGAACGAAAAATAATGTACTTTGGTCCCGTTCTTTTGCGTTTTCCTATCCCCTCATCTAAGTGAAATGTTTCGTGTCATATTTTCCTTCTAACCCTTAAGCCACCTGATAGGTCTACCAAATCGACCAGTGTAGTCAAGGTGAGACGTTAGCATCCTAAATTCAGTATTGAACTTTAACTCTCATTGTCGTGTTTGTAAAACATTTTCTAGCGACGCGCACTTCACACAAGTATAGCGGAAGATAAACTGCAATCATGCTCGATGGCACGGACGAATTTCACATTTCCGCGTCTTGTATACGCAGAACTAATCGATCGTCTAACTGACCTAGGTAGCCATGTCAACGACCGCAATTCTATGCACAGTCTACGAACTACATAAATCGAGTTTATCTCGTATACTAAACCACCGTATTTCTGACTATGTCGTACTATCGCTTACGCCTCCACGCTTTGCATAGTTCTGAAAGTGGGGCGAGGGCCGGCGCTTTCCGAATGGTTCAAGTTTTTAATGACATTATCTTGTTTTGTCCTACTGGTAATTTGGGCCAAAGTGGTTGCTACTATGAGGAATAAACACACTCTTATTGCAAATAAGTCAGTCGAAATCAGGTCACAACCAAATCCACGAAGCGTCCCACGGTTTGTGTTGACTCGAAACATACCTGACAGGGACGTCAAAGCTTTATGTTTGGCTGCATTGGTATGTCATGCTATATTCCGTAAATTTCTTCCAAGGCCACGGAGGGGTCGGCGCTCTACACAGACCATAGACAGAGAACTCTACGTTCAAAAAATGTCTTCTCAAGGAAGAGCAGGAAGGATTATTGAGGACACTTGTAGAAACCATTAACTAGGGTTTATCGGTTTCTTTTGGATGTTCTTTCTAAAAGGAAAACCTGGGTGCATCCGCCCTTTACTGCCAACTACGAATCGTCATTATTTTATTTAATGATCGCTTAACATCGCCTACACATGGATCCCAGTCACTAAAAGTCTCCCGTAACTGGAAAGTGAGTAAGGGGTTAACTAGACGTCTTTTTCTGGGGGAAATATCCCCATCAATTCTTCCTGATGGTTGGTCACCATCAATGAATCAATGAAATATTGTGAGATAGCCAGGCCCTTGATCGAGAATATGTCTATGCAATTAGAAGATGAAACTATTCTTTTGTCTTTAGCATATGTACGGGTTATCATAAAGAAAACGGCAAAACTATGAAAACAATGACCACGCAGTATTACTTTTAATTTAGCAAAACTGTCAGCCGTCCTTGCCGGTGATCTGGCCTACTTAACTCAGAACTGTGCATCGTATACACGGTAACTTCAATCTAGGTGATATTTTGTGAATAAGGCCAATCTCTAGCTAGTGTAGTGTATGTTTGTCTTCTACTTTGATCCAGGCGTGCTAAGCAAACAGATCGTTACGACTGCTCCATGAAGCGACTAAGCGGCAATTAACCACGCAGTTTTTGTGTGATGCACAAAAACTCATGCCGTGCTAGTAAAAGACTATGCGGATACACTTCCAGTGCGCAGTCTGCTTGTAAATTTCTGCCTACTGGCGTATTTATGATAGTTGATTACGCTGGCCCGTATGTCAAAATAGCAATCGATTTGTCCTAACAAGTGCATCGCTTATTCGACTCAATTTGTACGGGTATTCAACAAACAATTTAAAACGGACACACTTGTTCTGGAAGAAGGCGCCCATAACGTTGCCCCATCGGGGAAGCCACCCTAGGGATGCCCAATCTAGGTTTGTCGTTTTAGATAGTCCTTCGACTAGAAAGTCGTAGCACAGAGAAATAAAAAGAAACTCAGGCTAGTTATCAACAAGATGAGCAGCAAACTGTATGTAGGTTCATACATTTGGGACTTTGGGAGAACAGCCTACCTGTTGATAAAAACTCTAGCAACAGCCATACCGTTTTTAGCATGAAGAAGTCCTGTTATTTTCCACAGGGATTCACTTTAATTCCCAAAATGACTTGATAAAAATACAGTGTTTCATGAGAGAAGCCAAAGTGAGCCTGGATATGAGGTTAAGATGTCCCGACGGGTCTTTAAACCCTGGCATAAGGCCAAAGGTGTTGCTCACCCTCCTTAGAGTATAGAGTATAGAGAGAGTATAGAGAGCATAGAGTATATTCAGGTATGGGGTCATAGTAGGGAGCGAAAAAGCCTACGAGCGCGATAGTCATTCACAGTGGTACGGTCGTATTAGAAGCGGTGCATTGTGTTATAAAATAACATGAAAAAGGTGAGGTGGAAAGCAATACAATCAAAACAATAGGCCTTTGATTCTGAGCTCGCTATGCAGTTTTTGATACAGTTTATCATGTTTGTTCCTCATGTTCGAAATTTATGCCGCAATTCACTAGCAGAAAGGATCAGGCACCAGATGGTTATCCTTTAGCTGTTCCACTACTAAGCAGTATCCTTCTTCAAAGATGCTATTTTGAAAATCGACAGTCCTGATTTTCAATATCTGAAGATTCCTCTGATGGTGAATTGACGGCAGATCGAAGATGGTGTGAAAAAGCTAAATGAAGACGGGTTACCCTAACATAAAGGTTCCTAATCCATGAACGACGTAGCTGAGGTTACTTTAATTTTTTTCTCAAACGCAGCAACTCGAATCACACTAACTTATCTTCCAAGCTCCGCAAACTGGCTTATTTTAATTCTACAACAAAGCAGAGATAAACTCTTCCATAACACAATAGAGATCACTTGGACACTTCCCGATGGGGCAGTTTCTCGTAAAATGACCTCAGAAAAAAAAACTGGCGAGATCAGTTGTGGCGGGAGGATGATCTTATCATGCTGAACACAGCCATATGGCCACATTAAGAAGAAGCCTTCACGTGGAAGGTCATCATATAGAGACAACAATGGACATTCCACTGCAGGATGAATTTCACAAATCCAGCTAGTGGGATTTTGTCCTCATGTTAGAAGACACACATACCATCAGTCCCTTCTTCATATACAAACACCGTCGCTATAGTGGGGTTGAGCAGCATAAACGTAATCCAAGTATTTCCCGCATATGACCATTCTCTTTGTAACGACTTCCTGTCCAATATAACTGTGTGGTAGCGCACGGCATTACAATGTTAAACTATTCTCCCCTCCACAATGAGACGATTAAATCAGTTTTCTCGAGAGGGATGGCTCTAGTTGGATTTAGCTTACACCTGGGGCGAGACGGCCCAAGTGGTTAGAGCGTGAATTTACTGACCGGAAGGTTCGTGGTTCGAATCCGACCTCCGCCA